GTACCTGGGAAAAATGTGAATGTACAAGATTTGCAATGATGCTAAGCTGCTCTCATGGTCTCTGTAATGAATTAAACCTCACCAAGATGAAAAACACGTACTAGTTGTATTTTAATTAGTTATCTGCCATAACACTGTACAACTAAGTAAGGCAAAACGATTCTTCCACCGCTACTACACTTCTGCTGTTGTTCTTTTGACTAAAGTACATGATAGGATGAATGAACTGAGCGATATAAGATGGGACTTAGGAGAAACATGATCAACTTTTTAAATTGAATCAAATGATAAAATTGTGGTTTTAAGTGTGAGATTACATGAAATCAATACAGTGGTACCTCGGGTTAAGTACTTAATTCGTTCCAGAGGTCCGTTCTTAACCTGAATCTGTTCTTAACCTGAAGCACCACTTTAGCTAATGGGGCCTCCTACTGCTGCCACGCCGCCGGAGCACAATTTCTGTTCTCACCCTGAAGTTCTTAACCTGAAGCACTATTTCTGGGTTAGTGGAGTCTGTAACCTGAAGCGTATGTAACCTGAAGCGTATGTAACCCGAGGTACCGCTGTATATGGAAACTATGAGCACATAGAGCTTTTATTGCCAGTTGTAGAAGAGTTGCTCACAAATGACGTGTGTGTGTGTGAGAGAGAGAGTGTATGAGAGAGATGCCAACTCTAAAACTGTTTTAACAGGGAAGTCTTGAGATGCAAATATCACTTTCACATGGAATTTGCTGGTGTGAATTTTGAGGGAAATTTGGTTTAGATTCCATTTTAATGATGCTGCTATTATCAAGAACCATCACTTGGTTGTACAAAGAAACAGTATAATTGCAGCTGTTCTACAAAGCACTTGTCTACACCGACATATTTTGCAGTGTGATCATTGTATATTACATTATATATAATAACTTTTTAGTAAAATGCACAACATTTGTTTGTGTTTTACATGAAAATCCCTGCCAGTGTAATATTTGGGGAGCAGTGGTGATGATAATAATGGGTTTGAGGAGACCCAGAGGCACATGGGTCAATAAAAAAAAGGTGGAAATATCATTCTGGATCTTTGCTTCACCAGCAACGGTGCAGCCATTGTAGAAAAAGTTTAAAATGAAGAAGAAAGAAAACACATTATGACCTGTGTCATTAATGTGGCACTATCATTTTTGTAAACTGCTTAGAGGTCTCATTATAATCAAAGGGCAAATATATTTTGTTCAGTGAATGTAGGACCCTCCGTAGACCAACCCTAGTAGTGTCATTGTTTGAGAAGCTGTATCATTTTACTAGCAAGAAATGTGGCCTTAAATATTTAGGCGTGCTTCAGTTCACTTCTTTCTGCAGAGCTTTTCAATCTCCCCCAAATGCTCGATTTGAAGTTTATGTTAGCAGCAAGTTTATATAAAAAAATACTGTGCATAATATTTAATATGTTTGTGGGATTTGTCTGGGGTGCAGTTGTCCAGTTACTACAGGAACCTTTCATTGTTGTCATTGTCAGTAAAGTATTGTTTGTTTACAATTTTTGTCTAAAATCCCAGCTTTCAGGGCTAGCACAAACCATAATTTGCAAGTTTGGGAGGATTTTCCATGTGCAAGGGGGAAGATAAGAGAGAATCTTTGAACACATGCCTAATTCCAAGCTCTTCAACATAGTGCCAAATCGTACTAGTTTGCCATCATGTCTGAACTGAGCCAGAGATGTCAGTCAAAGGTCACAGTGGGTCAAGGTATACAGAACTGGAAAACAGTTTATATTTGGTCAAAGACAGAAGAATAGCTAGTGGAGATAACTGAGAATAATTTTTATGCAGTCTGCACAGCTAACAAGGCAAATAATCCTACTGACCAGAATTTGAGAAAGATGTACTAAACTAAAGGAAGATCAGGGAGAAGGAAGTTCCTGTACTTTCAATGAAAGGTTACAAGAATGAATTTTAAAAGAATAAAAGAACAAAGATCTTGGTATTGTGGTTGAAACTTGAAGGACATACTGGAAAGAAATGTTAATAACCTAAAGCTATGCACACTTACCTGGGAGTAAGCCCCAGTGAACACTGACTTACTTCTGAGTAAACATACATTTATGTTGGAACTGTATCCATATTCTAAATTTAATATTTTGCTCTTAGATGGGAAGTTGACTGTTATTATGGAAGAAGAGCAATGTGGCTTTGTTCTCAAATAGATTACCCTGGTGTTCTTGTGAAGACGCTTCTACCATATCAATTTGGGGGGTAGAGACTATGCAATGCATTAAATATAATTATGCATGCCACTTAGACTCCTGGCCATGTCTAGCTCTAGCAGCTGGCATGGCTGGGCATGTGCTGTATGATCCAGACTGGTTCAGCAGCTAACCAAAGTGACAGCATGCAGAGATGTCCCCAGAGGCACTGCAGAGGAGATAGTATTGAAAGACTGACTTGCATATCTTTTTGGAAGAGTCACAGATTACATTATCTGTATTTTTTACATATATAAAAGAACAATACTTATAGTTTGTGCTGTTAAAATGCCAAGGTGTACAGTTTTGTGAGGTGATTAGAATATGATTGCAACAGACTATCTGATAGGGCAGCGTACATACTCTCCAACATTTCTGGTGAAAATAGCGACGTCCAGTGCTATTTTTCTAGAAAAAGAGGTGCTGGAACTCACCACGAGCACCTCCCTCATTCTCTTAGAATGGCCATGGCGCCCACCTGAGAGGTTCTGGAACTGAATTCAGGTGAGTTCCGGCTGGGAAAAAGCCATGGGTCCTATTCCATACCCTCCAACATTTCTCCGATGAAGGTAGGGGTGTTCTAAGAAAAAGTGGCACATTCCAGGATCAAATCGGAAACCAGGATGGCTTCTGTAGATTTGGGAATGTCCCTAGAAAATAGGGTCACTTGGAGAGTCTGAGCGTAACAGCGTGCGAACATACAAAGCTTGAGGATGAGCTTACTTATGCTGAATGACCTGATGATCAGCTCGGTGCTATGAATGAAGTAACAACAAATTGTAACTCATTATGAAGACCATTGCTCCTAGATGGGTGCCCCTTATTTAGAAGGCTATGTATAATATTGTTATGAGTTTTTGTGTGTGTGTGGGGGGGGAAGTAGGCTGTAGGCTTGAGCCCCGCTTCAAATTCCTGGATGCAGCATGGATTCAATTGCTGGAATAGCCAGGCCAGCCTTGTAATGGTTCGCTAAGTAAGTATGGGTCGTTAAGGTAACAAAGGGAGTGGCTCTGTGCCAGAGGAAAAAAAACGAGTGGGTCTCCTTCCCTCAACTGTCTGTTTGTTAAAAAGACAAAAGGCCAGATTTTTGGAGTTGAATGATGTGAGCTAGAAGCCAGAAGCAAAACCAGCAGGCTAGAAAGGTAGAGAGAGAGAGAGACCTGATTTCTGTTGGAATCCAAGGCTATGGCTATGGGAGAAGCAGGACCTCATCCAGGCTATCACCTCAACACAGGAGGATAGCCTGGCTTATATGTTAACCTTTGCTGGATCCAGGGGTTAGAAGAGTCCCAAATTCATAACACTCCCCAGCAACACCAGGAGAGCCACAAGTTTCCTACCCCTGTATAAGTTTTTTTGGGGGAAAACTCAGAGGGGGAAAACAACCTTCAATACATAGTTCTCTAAGCAATTAAACCAGCCAACCTTCTCTCCCCTGGTTGGTTGGAGAATCTAGGAAACAGCAGACGTTTCTGCTCCACACATTGTATGTGAAGTGCTATTTGCATGCACCCACAGTCACCCACATGCTCTCCCTTAATGTTGAAGCTACCTTGAGACCATAAAATATTTATTTGGCATATATTTAAATAATAACTAAAGGCAGGTTTTGGCAAACAAAATTAACCAAGAATCTCACAAATACACATGGATGTATGATATTTATCTTTTGAATGTTACCATTTATAAATTATGTTCTTTAAGCCCCTGTTTGTTCACATTTATAATTTTCAGATGCTCATTTGCACAAAATCCCTTAAGAAGCTTTTAAACAATTATTGTCTGTAATCTTTATGTTGTTCACTGTATTATCAGATGGATAAAGATAGATTTGATAGACATACTGGGGGAAATTCAATATGTAAATTATGATGACTAGAGCACAGTTAACATTTGTGCTTGAGTGATTCAGAGTAGTAGATAATTCTTCAAGTCTTATGCTGATGCTTCATTAAAAGCTTTGTAAAACATTATGAAAAAACAAAGGGATTGATCCTACCTGCATTGTTGAGATACTGAACTATGGGGATTTTTGAAAGGTTATTCAAAAACTACAGAACTATTACAAGTACCACTGGGAAGAACATAGTCCTTTTAACAGTTATTGAAAAATATAATTACAAAAAGCTATGTGGTTACTCTATATTTCTTTTTTTAAAACCAGATGACCTCAAACCTTTAAAGAAGTTTTTATATAACTAAGACACTTCTATAATTTTTGGTATTTGATGCTGGGGGAACTGCTGAGGTAAAGTTGGTGGGAGTTAGTACATGAAGTTATTGTTGTTCATAACAGTATAGTTTTTCTTGAAGAGATGTCTGAATTTTAGACTGCTTTATTCCTACAACATGATTGCAGTTTTTTGTATTTTTGACTTAGAACAATTAACAAGTCCCCAGATTATGTACATTCTGTTTCAATGGGTGCTAAGCATAGACTAAGTAGTGACAGTATTTGCATAACTATTCTTCTCTTGTGGTTCATAAACAGGAAAGGTCAATCTTAAAAACAAATTCTGAACATACAGGTGTTCAGCACCCCACTTCCCACCCCCACTCCCCTGCTTCTAGATTTAGATTTTGTGAATAAGTTGTAGTGTATATGCATGGAATGGGGTGTGTGGGTATGGGTGGTGTGAATTGTTTGTTATAAGTATTTTCCAAAACTAAAAAGTAAGAATTTTAAATATATATATATATATTTCACATTCGCACATGCTGCTTTTGGGTGTTGATTAGCACATTTTGACATATCTTTCCTTTCTCTCCATAGGTCAAAGGATCTAATAAAGGAAGCTATTCTTGACAATGACTTCATGAAGAATCTAGAACTGTCACAGATCCAGGAGATTGTGGATTGTATGTATCCAGTGGAATATGGCAAGGACAGTTGCATTATCAAAGAGGGAGATGTCGGTTCACTGGTATATGTCATGGAAGGTATGTCGTACAGCTGTTTCATTCATCTATATATATGTTTTCCCTCTTAGCTGCTTCCAGAGGGACTATTGCTACATTACATGGAACATTCCATAGTGGCTAGAGGAGGCAATGGTACTCTTATAAAGGGTTTCCACTCATTGCATGTTGCTTTCATACCCAGTATGGTACTACTAGAATTCATCTTTAACTATATCAGTAGGACTGTGGTGCATCTGCACTTACACCAATTCAGGGTTGGGGAATCTTTGGCATTCCAGGTGATTATTGGCCTCAGTCTCCTATTATCCTTGACCATTGGTCCTGATGGCTGAGGCTGATGGAACTGGAGTCCTACAACACCTGGTACAAGGGTGGGCAGAATTCATATTTGAGCGATCTTCTTTGTTCTTTGCTCGAACCCTGAGATTTATGAGCCAGAGCCTAGTGCAAAAGACACACACTTAGATGTAAAGAATTCTAAGCCCAGGACTTGTTTTGAGTTCTAGAACTGCCTGTAGCTCATAGTCCACTCCTTGTTACCTTCAAGGATTCTTCATTTCAATGCTATAATTTAGGGTGGGAGGGGAAACACATCTTTTTTCTGCTGTTCTTAAATAACAACAACTAAGAACTCCTTGTCTATTTCAAATTACCCAGAGATCTTGCGGTAGACCCATATCTGCCCACTCCTGGTCATTAGGGCTACAGGTAACCCACCCTGATTACAGTGCATTGTTTTGAACAATACCGCTGAAGTGAGAGTGTTGCAAATCTAGTCTCTTTCACTTTGAGTGAGAAACCATGTGGTGGTGTGTGGTGCCCTGCTGCTATACAGAGGTTGTGAACACACTTATCTGCAGATTGGGTGCAGGGCTAGAGTACATATTGAGTGAATGGATTGGACTACACGGGCAGAAGTTGATACAGACACACCCTGAGGATTGCTCCCCAATATAACAGTTTAGAACACTGCTATATTGTGCATATTCAGCTGAGTGAAAGGCACACACATTGCAGAACTGCTTAGGAAATTTCACTATGCGTATTATCTAGGTGTATATTTTAATCACGTTTGCATGATGTTTTCAGATCTGGGGATGATTCACAGTTTCTGTGAAATTCTAAACTGGAAAGCGGACTTAATACTTTGATCATACCCTAGGGTTGTCTTATTTCAAAAAGTAAAAACCAGGACATCCCAAGCTTTTTTTTTCCCCTTAAAAAAAAAAGCCGAAATAATGCGATTGATTTGCCTAAGATCCAGGACAAAGTGCCGCCTTTCAGAAATCCCCCTCGGACCTCAATTCCATGTTTGAAATCCTGGTAATGTCTGAGGAAATCCAGGCATATGGCAGCCCAATCATACCCTATCATCTCTTTAACTATTTGGTTACATGTGGAATCCTGTTGTCATCTTTGGAATACACAACATAAGAAGGTAGTGACTGTAGTTTTAGACTGTCAAAAAACGAGAAATTTGAAGACCTGTATTTGAAAACTTGAAATGACCTGTTGACATTACTACATATAGATAATTCATTTTAAGAGATCAGAAAAGTGAAAAATTATCACTTAGTGCAGTGTTTTTAATACTAAGATTGCTGATTATAAAGTACCTTGATAGCTTCATGCATTATAAGTATCACTTAATTGCAAAATATTGTTCTTATCCTTAATTTGTATTACACGATGTAAGAAGTTTTATCATGTTGCTACAGCACTGTCAGATGTTCTGAAAGGAGGAACTGAAGAGCTTTACAGTCTCAAGGGCCCAAGATAGGTTTAATAATCTATCTGTTTCCTGTATAACAATTTAATTTCAGAGAATATGACAGGCTTCTGAGAACTGAGTTTTCTCCTTGTGTTTTCAACACCTTTGAAAACAGCTGGTGGTGCAGTTGTTGGCACTGTATTTATACATTTTTTATTTGTCATTATCAAAGGGTCTAATTTGGCAGATTTTTGTTCATGTTTGTGGGGTTTTTTGCACCAGTAAACAACCCAGGCAAATTGATACATTTTCTGGTCACAACCTAATACCATGGATTTCCAAGATATTTAAGGCTGCTTGCTAGGGGTTGGATTGTAGAGTTTTTACGGAGCTCAGTGCATCTCCCATAAGTCTCTAGCTTTCTGGTTTGGTGTGAAAAAAATGGACCGATTATTACAATATTGTGTAGTATGTTGATTTTCTGGGTAAAATGGTCCAGCCCGGATTGAAGCATTTTTAGTTAAATGTTTTCAATGACAGAAATTTAAGCACATACTTACTCACCTGTTGAAATCTATGGAACAATGTTTAACTTTGCCTGTGTCAATCATGCCCTTTCTTGTTTTGGTTGCTTAAATAAATAAAAGGAGCCTCAAAGTTACAAATTATGCTTTGAAATGTAATTTTATTCCAAAACCTTAATGCTACTCTTACATCACTTTTTTAAAAAAGCTGCTGTCGTAAGTTTGTTTTCCTATCCTTTTAAGGCTAAGCCCTTTTGTCCAAGAGCAGTTTTGTTTTTCTTTCAGCTTTGGGAATGCATGCTTGACTAGAACAATGTTGTGTATTATGAATTGGTGACTGAGAGAGGTCCCTGAACTTGGTAGCACAATCCTAACTATGTCTACTCATATTTAAGTCCTATCAAATTAAATAGGGTTTACTCCCAGGTAAGTGTGGTGGTTATGATTGCAATTTTTCCACACTGTGTAGGAAGCAGTACTAACAAATTTTGTGTTGCAGTTTCATATACGAAACAGTAACTTCATAATTTCCATTGGCATGATATATGAGAACAAAAAAAATATGTTACCAGGAAATAATGGTGTTTCTCAAAATGTTAGTATTTTATTGATATTTACGTGACACTGGCAGAGGAGAACTTCAGGTTCAATTAAGAGTGCTTAATCCTCGCGCTACAAAAGTCTCCAGGACATTTTTATTACCTTCCCTCATCCTGGCAGTCTCTGAGACTAGAAATAAGCACAGGTAGGGGGGAAATGGTCTCAGGGATGGGACTTTTGCAGAGAAGAATCAGTGGGTGCTGGAGGGTTATGCACCTCTTCCTCCCACCTAGTGATTCTCCCCTGTAAGTGTTGCCCCCAATTCGAGTTATACTTTCGGGAACACTTAACACTTGACACAATTATGCAGCATCATCCTAGGTGAAATAGCAACTACCGTACTTTGTAAATGAGCTCTTCCAGCATCTGGATGTGTTAAAATGCATGGGCATGGGCACATCTTAATTTTATGTGAAACGGAAGTACTTTTCAAAATTAAATTTTTCTATTATTTATTTATAAATGCTTGTGTACCACTGTATCATAAAAAATATCAAAGCAATTTACAACAATATCAACATATAATAAAAACAATGTAAATGCTTAAAGTCAAGAGCCATCAGCTAACTATTATGAAAAGAGGATTGCATAATTTTCTCCATAGGACTGGTGGCACGGAAGTACTTTCAGCAGGTGTTGTTAAAAGCTGAAACAGAAGGCACCAGCTGAATCTCTAGTGGCAGAGCATGCCACAAGACTAGGCCAATGACACTAAAGACTTGGCTTCTTGTTGTCTGATGAGCCTTTCCAACTCCAGAGCTAGCCAATGACATATATTGATGACTGAGTTGGGATATAAGGGTTTTGGCTGTTCCTAAGGTGCAGGGCTTCGTAAATTAATACAGATGGACCATGATTGGTCTAGAGTGAGATAAACCAGGAGCCTGGTTTTGAACGATGTAATGTTAAGCCAATCCACGGCTTACCTCACAGTTGTGCAGTAGTGGCAAGAGGGCAGAAGGAGTAAAGCAGCTGCTATCTTATCTCTGGAAATCTACAAAGCTTCCTATTCACACTAAGCCATGGTTTGGCAGACTGGGTCAATATATAGATATAAATGGGGTCCAATTTCTACAGAGATCTTGCAATAAATTGAGAACCTTAAAAAGGTTGAGAATTAGTGCTAACCTGGATTGTAAGAATTCATGTGCCACAGTACTATTGGCTCCCATAGAGTTGTAAGGTCCCTGCAACGTCAGCTAGCTGTTACTGGGAAGTACAGCCCAGTCTGTTGATGGTCACCAGATGTGATAATGCAGAGAATGCTTTCAGGCTTCTGGAATTTATCTGGCTTAACCAGTCTAGGTGTATCTGCGTACTGAAAATGAAATTATAAAGAAATTAAACAAAGTAATGGATAATGGCAACTATAGTGATGTGATGGTAGCAAGATCAAATGCTTGGTTTCACTGGTAATATACATTTCCACTAGAGCTTACTTGTGTGTCACTGATTCATGACTACCTGTAGAATATACTGTTTATGATGTACTCATTTACCACACAGAGGAGCATATATTTAATTAGCTGACATATTTTGTGTTTCAACATTTGAGTGGAACCTTAGAAACACTTCCAGAAGTGTCTCCCTTCTACCTGCACTACATCTGGTAGAAAACACAGTTTTTGTTCTTTAAGCTTCTCAAAATGTTGAGCTCCATAATTCCAGGGTCTTCCTGGGTCAACTGTTAGCAGGGATCCAAAGTGGACCAGCCTCCCATACTTTTCTCTTTCCTTATTTTCCTGCACAACACATATCAGCAGCAGACCTCAAACTATTTTAAAGAAACAATTATTCAGAGGGGGCCAATCTGCTTTTCAACTGCAATAGAAATTGGTGCATAGATGAACGTTCTCCTTTCTGCAGCCCCTAATGAATTTTCTTCAAACAGTTTTAGAAATCTGTATGCAGTTTGCAGCATATGTAAACTCTAATTGCTGCTGTGGAGTTTACAAAACCCAAAGGTGCAGCTTACAGACATTCTAAGCTCTGCATGCTAAAATGTTTATGATGTCCACAACTGCATCTCTAGTGCAATAATTCCAGTATATAGAGTAAAGACTGGAGTGCACACTAGATACACTGCCTGTAAAATTATACGGGTAGAACTTGGATGTTTTATGGAATATTATAAAGGGGACAAAGGTGCATCAACTCTAGTTCTCTTCTGCAAAGTGGGGCAA